GAGAGAGAGAGAGAGAGGTTTTGTTTCTCTTAGGTTGGATACTTTAATTTCTCCATTGATAGAGAAATGTGGATAAAGAGAGAATGAAAAAAAGAAAGGATGAAAGATAGAGAGGCATAACAAAATCTCAAACCCGCCACAAATTCGACGACTCTATTATAGGTTGCTTGGGACATGGTACATGCAAAACTTGGTAATGCATCAAATCCTAGGCATGCAGATTCTATTATAAGCAAAACCAGGTTTTAGGAACAATGTTGTTTGGGTAGCTTTAGGATGAACCCAGTATATAAATAAATCACCTGTTTGGGTCATCTAAATGTAAGACTAGGTTTTGGCAGTTTGTTGTGAAACCTTCTTAGAGAGATTTCTAAGATTTACCAGGTCCTTAACATGGATAATATTAAGATTCAACCTTGTTTAGCAAGATGCAACAATATTTAAGTGACAAAAATTGTTTCATGTTGACATGAAACACTCACTTCGATAAAAAAATATGCCAGCACTTATAAAACCATTTCTAAGCAAAAAGGGGATTATAATGTTACCTTTTTTTTCTACTTAAATAAAGCTTCACTGAAACGCTAGATCTGAGGCAATGGAGGAGGGGGGACTTGTTAAGATGCTGAGGGGAATTGATCCCATGATATGATAACTCGTACTCCACTGAGACCTGTATCTATGTCATTTAATGGAAAGATAAGGATCCGAAAAAATGAAGGGGAAATTCACAAAATATCTTGAGAAACGTCATAATAATCCACAAATAAGGATCAAACACATAACATCTTGGTTCAGTTTAAATGATGCCATGCATTATGAAATACCTTCATTAGGAAGATAATGGATACCTACTTAGGCTTAGGATGAAGTGTCATTGGAAGAAGACAGGGTTTGAGGCCTAGGATGGATAAAAAACGATTCATAGAGCTTTTTCGGAGAACATTAGGGCCATACAGGTGTTGGTCGAAGTTATTCTCTGCATAAAGCACTACAAAAATGGTGTGGGAAATAATGCTTATGGATAGGCACATTTTTAAGGTGGTGGTAGAGCTTCTCATGAACCTTATAGAGAGGATGGTAGAGGGTGGTAGAGATTGAAGTAACAAAGAATTGTGAAGAATTGGGTACAGAGAGAAGAATGTAGAAAGAGGAGATAGGGTTTAATGAATGGCTGCAATCTCGAGGGAAAATCAAGCTTTTTGGGATATGCTCATTCCAACTGTTTTTTTGGAATGAATGTATCTTGGTTTTAAAGCTTTTTGGGATGTGCATAACCTGAATTTGGGCTCCATTCCTATATCCTACACCCCAAGCTGATGGTATCCTGGTTATGTAAAACCAATATTTGGATATGACAGGTCCCAAACAACCTATTAGGGTTCTGACAAATCCCTATTGAGTATGCTTATGGCCATTAACTGATGGAGAAGGCTAGTGCTCCAATTCCAGCCACCTGTAGGTCTGTCCCTGCCATGTTCTTTAATGCCTGTAATACTGAAATTTTCGTGATGGGAAGGAGCCACTTAACTGCAGTCCGTGCCAAGCCCTTGGCTGTTACAAGGCTTTCTACAATTTTAATAGAAGTTATGGAGGTTCCTTTGAATATAGCTTCATAGCCGAACATTGACATCGTCTTTAAGGCTAATAACTCTTATGCCAATGGTGGCTTCAATTGGGATACTAAGTATGTCAATTGGATTCAGATTTAATGATTAAGGTGAGATTCTGAGGTCCCATTTCAAAAAAGGCCAATTCATCACCCAGCGAAATGACAAAGGCTCGCAAAAATGCGCACAAAGCCTTAAGGATGGAGGATGTTTGATTATCTACTGTTCTTATGTTAGATTCCCAGCCAGCAGGTGTGGTCCATATCTGTGATATTGTCTGCCCACATGAGGGGTCTCTAGGTCAACATAGATCAGACCCCTAATGTCATGTTGTCATCCAAAACAAGGCTAGCTGTTTAAGTGGGTTAGTATATACTTCAAATAGCTAATTGCTTCGCTGTGGCGAGGACGTGATTGGTTTGAAGGGCTTTTGTATCCAAGTGCATAATGGCAACTAAAGCCTTGTATGTATTCATGCATGTCTGAGGGTTTTTATACCAAGTGCATGATGGCAATGAACGCATTGTATGTAGTCTACTCGGGCATGTTTGAGGAGTTTTTGTAGCCAAATTGCCTTTATTGAAAAAGATGTTGTATATTTACAAATTCTAAACAGTTTAACATCTTAATAGCAATGGAAGAAAAAAACAAACACATGTTTGCTAATTGAAACACTTAATATAAGATCAACATTGACTTTTTTTCCTTAAGGTGACATGACACAAACTGTAATAAATAAATTCAAAATCAAAATGTAGTGGATGTTCAACATCAAATGCGAAATAGGGGCATAAGGCCCGCAGAATAGGGACGTTTGTCCATCTCGACCAACTTTTGGCAATTGCAAATACCACCATCTATCTCTCTACAAACGATAATAGGTCTTTTGGGATCTAACATACCCAAATACTAGTTTTGCATAACCAGGATACAAGTCGGCTTTGGGTGTTTGGATGTAAGAATGGAGCCCAAGTTGTGTATATCCCAAAAAGCCCTTAAAACCTACACATGCTCATTCCAAAAAAAAAGAACCTAGAACAAGCATATCCTAGCTTTGGCAAAAACTCGTTTTTTCTTAGGACTGCAATCGTCTATTAAACCTTTTGTCCTCTTTCTATATTCTCCTCTCTCTACCCAATTCTTCCCCATTCTCTGTAACTCATCACCATCCACCATCATCTCTAGAACCCTTTGCTACCACCTTAAAACCGTGCACCTATTTGTGAGTGTTATTTTCGACACCATTTTTGCGGTGTTTTATATAGAGAAGAGCTTAGGATCATCACCTCTATGGCCTCATGTTCGATGAGAAATTAGAAGTCTCTGAGTCATTGATCCATTTTAGGCACCAAGCTCAGCCTTCTTCTAGCGGTGCTTTATCCTTAGCCTAGGCAGGTATGTATTGTCTTCTTCTTGATAAAATTATTTCGTGATGATATGTGTTAGATCCTTTAGCAAGGCATTCGTTGCTCACTGATATGGTCGAAAGATCTTAGATATGTCTTGGGGTGGTTTTGACTTCCCTTGGTACGAGTCTAATATCTAGATTTATGGAGTTTATTTGCTTGTTGTTTCCTTTTCTATTGTTTGGAAATAATATGAAAGAGTGATATGTGTGTGTGCATGTAGAGAGAGAGAGAGAGAGAGAGAGAGAGAGAGAGAGAGAGAGAGAGAGAGAGAGGAGGAGGAGGAGGAGGAGGAGGTAGAGAGTAGAGTAGAGTAGTAGTAGTAGTAGTAGTAGTAGTAGTAGTAGTAGTAGTAGTAGTAGTAGTAGTAGTAGTAGTAG